TTTTTTTATTTTTGGATTGAACTCAGGGGCACTTAACCACTGAGCCACATCCCCAGCCCTATTTTGCATTTTATTTAGAGACAGGGTCTTGCTGAGTTGCTCAGCACCTCGTTATTGCTGAGGCTGGCCTTGAACTTGTGATCCTCCTGCATCAGCCTCCCAAGCCGCTGGGATTACAGGCATGTGCCACTGCACCCGGCCTGATTCTACTTTCAATCCAACAAATTAAAAAGTATATTTGTCCATCTATCATGTCATGAGCCATGAGCCATAGGGGCCTTGGGTTACTGACCTGATAAACTGAGACACAGAAACTGACAGAGAAGGTCATCCCTTCTGCACATGTACGGCAGTGGGAACAAATCCTTCTGTCCCCTGTTCTCCCAGCCTGCTCAACAGTGGCTCACTCCAAGAACAGCTGTCCGGGGCTGCTGCAGGGATGGAATGTTCTGGGATCTGCTGGACACAGGAGCTGCCCTAGAGGTGGTCTGCATGACCAGGCCAGACTCCAGAGGGTAAATGAGGATGGGTGCGCAAATGGTTGGATGCGTCGCCGTCTGTGGCTGTCACCGTGATATTTGCAGCTCCTCTGTCATTCAGACAGCAGTGGCAATGTGCCTTGAAAAGTACATCGTAAAATCCAGTGAATTTCCTCCCTCCTATCTTGGAAGTGCAGGAAGGACTGAAATGGATTCCAAACTGTTCTGAATGAACAGAAAGCGCCTTTTCCTGTTGCCGAGTTCCAGCTGGAACCCTGGTAGCTTTTCTTCACCAAAGGGCACATGCTCAAGGGGGCGAGACGTCCCGCAGGGCGTCCTGGGGCCTGTCAGCCTTCCTGAGCTGTGCGCTTGGCGCTGGCCACGGGGACGTTCTGGGGGTTTGCTAGGGAGGCTGGCATCGGGCTGTGGCGCCAGTTGCAAACCTACCCTTGCTGGAGGCAGTTTTATTACTCCTGACTCCATGCACCTCACAGTGAGGCTAGAGGGTGCGGGAAGCTATTATTTGCTGCGACAGGCAAGGACGGGCTCCTTCTGGCTGACAGGCCTGGGGCCTAGGGAGGATGGCGAAGGGAGGACAGGTTTGCAGTCATGAGCAGCAGAGTGGCTGAGCTGACCTCGGTCCGCTCGCCAGGAGGCAGAGGGGACAGAGCCACGGGGGGATGTCCGTTAGGACACCTGGCTCTCAGTCCTAGTTCCCCTGTTCCATAGTCACTAGACCTTAGCAGAACTGCCTGGGTCTAGGACCCTCCCTTTTCTTGCTATGGAATGAGGATAATGACCTGGAATACTGTGGGCCCTAAGGGAGGTGGACCTGGAGTGCTCTCACAGAGGTACAAAGAACTGAGCTCTTCCTGGTTGGTGTGATTCTTGTCCCCCAGCTCCGGGGTGGGGGAGGGGGAGAGGCAGGAGGACAGTTTGAGAACTAGGTCATCCTTCTCAGCAAGCTGGTTCCGAGAGCTGAGTGAACAGCGGAGATGCTCAGAAGCACAGGGGCCAATCTCAGCACCCCATCAAGCGGGTTCAGCAGTTTTGAGGGGAGGTGAAGTTACCCACAGCAATCTTAGGGTTGCAACTCTGATGTCCCCGGCAAATACTGGGTTGGGTCAAAGCCGCTACCTTCATCCAAAAAAAAATCCCCTCTAAGTCTCCCCAGTCCCCTAGCTCGATTCCCCCCACTTAAAAACAGCACCCACTCTTACTGGTTCCTCAGCCTAGGGTCCCACGTGCCTTCCCCAGAGAAGCTCTTCTGTGATTCAGATACTCAGAATGAGTCACCTGGGTCCCTGCCCAAAGCACTTCTTTCTGAAATCACTAAAGCAATTGATAAATTTCCAAATCAAGGAGAAGATAATCAGAGGAGAAGATAATCAATCTTGTGAAGACTGGGTAGGATCAGAAATTTGTTTACTGGCATCAAAGCCTCTTGCTTACATGAATATTTTTTTTTTCCCTTTCTGAAATTCAGAAACAAACCAACCAAAATCTGAGTTACTGATGTCACCGACCATGTCACCGATCTACAGATGCCCCAAAGCTTACTAGAGAAGCCAGTCTTTGGGCTGGGACCAACAGCTAGGCAGCTCTTTACCTGGCCTACACCCAATCAGCTTCTCTGAGCAAAGAAGAGAGTCACACTCCTGCGAACTGGGCAAACAAGGGGTCCCGTCTGTTCATTCTTATCTGCTGCCTGTGTTTAGATTTCATCTACAAAAGCAAACTTTGGTCGGGGAACGATTTGGCTTTTGTGACACAGGAATGAGTCAATGGTAACTGCACCCCCTTGCTTTTTTCTTTTTCTTTTTTTTTTTTTAAATTTGAGGGAGTCTAAAATTATTCATATGTTTTCTTTTCATTATCACCACAGATAAAAGATGTTAATAATCTGTGGCAGGCTGCTACCTTCAGATTTCTTTCACTGTTATGAGAATCAAATGAGATCTGGATATTGGCGACTGCGGAGACAGTCTGGAGAAGGCTAAAAAGGCACGTGTTCTATACGACATCGACATTTCAACAGCCCGGTCTTTAATTCTCACAAACCAGTATGAATCAGATCCAGTAATCCTGATATCACATCAAACCCAATCACATTATTTACAGAGCCATTTCTTGGTAAATTAATGATTTTTTCTTCATCTTTTGTGGTTCTGGGAATGGAACCCGGGGCCTTGTGCATGCTAGGCAAGTGCTGTCCCACTGAGCTATAGTCCCAGTACCAATTTTAAAGGCCTAACGAACCACTGATTTTTAAATAATGTCACTTGCAAGAAATCGACAGGAAGTCGGGCAGTAATGGTAATTCTTCCTAGATGGAACCACCTTGTTAGTCTATATCTATAAAACAATACTTCTCAGGTTTACAAAGCCCAGGATTACCATGGGTTTTTTTGTTTGTTTTTTTGAGGTACCAGGGAAGAGAATCCAGGCCAGCTCGCTAACACTGAGCTATGTCCCCAGGTCCCCATCCATGACTGTTTCTTGTCTAGAGTGTTCCTCCTTAGAAACTAACCACATCTGAGTGGCTTATTTCGAACACTCTGCTTTACAAAACCAGGACTACTTCTGGCATGCTCCGTGAGCTCTTGCCTCCCTTCGTATCTGCGGAGGGAATATAAACTGCTACAAACTTCACGGAAAGCAAGCGATTTGGCAATGACACCAAATCATTGGAAGACTTAAAAATGTCCATAGCCAGCAATTCCATTTCTGGTAATTCAGAATGAAAAAAATAATCTAAAATTTGGACAGAGATTTACACATAAGAATGTTTCCTTCAGCAACACTTAACAATATTCTTCTCTATGGCTATTATTATTATTTTCTTTGGCACTGGGTATTGAACCCCGGGGTGCTCTACCACTAAACCACATCCCCAGCTCCTTTTAGTTTTTATTTTGAGACAGGGTCTCGCCCAGATGCTGAGGCTGGCCTCCAACTTGCAGTCTTCCAGCCTCAGCCTCCCGAGTGGCTGGGATGACAGATGTGCACCACCACATCTCAGTCAAAATTGAACATTTTTCTTCCAGTGAACTTCAAATAAACTGGAATCTCTTTGTTTTGGGTTGAATGAATCAAAGATCCTGCGGCTCAAGGGTTAATTTAACTGGTAGATTTGCTCACAATAGTAAAACATGTTGGACAGTATATTTTTGTGCTTTAAAACAACATCAAAAGTTACTTGACACTGAGCTTGTGGCCCCAGAGTCAGCCCCTGTCATCCCTCATCTATATGCACCCAGGCATTTGAACAGTAGGAGCCCTGGAGGCAGGTTGGGGTCCCATTGGTGCTGCGCTGCCTTAGGCAAGGAAGCAAGCCTTTCAGTGCCTCCTGTTCCTGGTTTGTAAATGGTCCCAGCCTCACTGGGTCCTGAGCATTGAGTGAATACGCAAGAAGTGCTCAGAACACTGGCTGGCCACAGGAAGTACTTCACTGTGCAGCACCACCAGCTCACCAGGCACCTGACTTCAGGAGCATTCTGCCCTCACGTGACCAACCCAGGACTGCCGAGAGGCTCACGCTCTTTATCGCACGCAGCGTGGCTGATACCTGTCGACACCTGCGTTGATGAACGGCAGCCCCATCCATCAATGGAGGATGCGCTGTGGAGTCCACATAAAAAGCTTACCTGAAGTCCATTTCGGTGTGAGGGAGCACTTGTCACTTAAAGGGATTTTTATACACAGAGATGAAAGAACAACTTCCTTCGACTCTACTTGGGAACATGAAAGGCTAGTCAACGTCAACATCAGGTTCAGAGCCTGGCTTTCGGAGTTGGTTACTTAGATCGTGTACTGGCAAGGCCCCAAAGGCAACGACCCCATTTATTTCCCTGCTGTGTGCTTTTGGGACCACGCTGCATTCTTAATCCCGGCCAACCACCTCGAAACTACTGGAACATAAAGTAATGATGAAAAGAAGCCATCAGACAGCTCCACGTGACAGAGCAGGTGGAGGGAAGTGGATAGAGGTTCCTTCCAATCTGTTATCAGGAAGGTAGTCCCAGGTAGGGTCTTATGATGACAGACAGACACATAACTGGACCCAAACCACTTGGGAGCGCCTTCTCTATACCATATGAGCATGATTTCAAGCTATGTCATTGGGTGAACTGAAGATTGAGTGACCTTCTGAGAAGTAATGGAAAAAAAAAACACAAAGAAAAAGAAGAGGGCATTTGTCCTTGATGAGTGGATTTTGATAGAAAAATAAACTAAAAAAAAAAAAACATTTGGAGGGATAAAAGAATTAAGCCTGGGTGTCCCCCCCGCCCCCAGCCTGAATATGGCAAGCTTCTGCTGTTCTTTCTTGGTATGCGACATGGGTCGTGACACTCTTAAGGCGCCATGCCATTCACATCTGCTGCATGAAAAGTGAGGTTGAGACTGAACAAGAATGTAGACAAGCACAGAGGAAATGCAAAAAAATCTTTGCAGGCATTTCGCCACCCTCCCATCCTCCACTGTGAAGATTAAAAAAAAAAGAAAAGAAAAGGATCTTACCTCCACTGAGAATAATGACGGCTATAAATATGGCCAAGTCGCTGTCATCTAATTCCAGTGCATTGAACTTCACAGCAAACTCGAACTTGGGCTCCATAAAGTCACCAAAGGGCTTCCGCAGGCTCTTGAGGAACTCCCTTGTCATGAATCCTTGGCCCTCGGATATGAGGACGCCGTCTTTATTCATCAGAGAGGCCAGCATGGTGTAGATGATCTCATGGACGCCGTATTTGAGGAGAGTTACTTGGTCGTTCAAGTCAAGGTTCACAAAGCCGGGAATGCTTTTGGCGTACTCCGTGATCTCCTGCACGGCTTCCACCGAGCGGAACTGGCATCCCTGAAAGATGCGGATGGCCACCTCCTTGCTCTGCTCCTGCAGAGGGGTGATGTGCTTGAACTTGATTTTGTCTTCTCCCATCATTAAGGAATTCATGTCATAGATGACAAACGGCTGCCAAGGAAAGAGGGCAAAAGTGGTTGAGTCGGAGATTTTTCTCCCTGGTGGCAAACGACACCTCGTTCAGAAAACGACCTCTTCATAAATGTTTGCTTTGCTAATGAAGATCCGTCAAGTTGAAGACATTTAAAAATGAGGAAAGGCTCTTCTTATTACTCAGCTTTATTATGGGCTGGGACCAAACCTATTTTACCAATTGTGGTCTTTTCCCCCTTCAACTTATCCTATTAATGCTTTACCTCTGATGGGCTAATGGTTCTGGTTTCTCTTTGATTTTTAAAATGATGCAAAAATCTGCTGTTTATCTTGGCTTTCAACAGAATATGCTTTAAACCTTCATTCAATGGAAAAAAATCACTTCAGCAACTCAGGGTTGAAAAGACCTACTGGAACATAAAGTAATCTTGCAGTTTTAGGTTGAATCTATTCAGATCACAAATGAAACCGTGTGTACATAAAACACACTTCACTATTAAAAAAAATCACCCTGAAAGCAGATTACAAATATTGAGCCAAGAAAGTATCTCTCTTCTTTTAATGCTCTGGAAGCCATCTGTCTCAGGACTAGCAGATGTGGAGGGCTGTGGGTAAGGTCTGCAAAAAGTAGCAAAATAAGAGCTGCTCTGAACTTACTTTTTTTAAAAGAAAATATTTTGTTTTAGTTGTAGTTGTATACAATACCTGTATTTTGTTTTTCATGTGGTGCTGAGGATTGAACCCAGCGCCCCACCCAGCACGTTCTAGGTGAGCGCTCTACCACTGAGCCACAACCCCAGCCCATGAACTTACTTTTTAAAATACCTGTACTCAAGGGTCAACTAATCAATCAAATACATGCATCAGTTACTCAGCTTTGCAACAGGCCATTTTCAAAAGCAAGGTGTGCTGGGCATGGAGGCACATGCCTGTAATTCCAGCCTTCTAGGAGGCTGAGGGAGGATGATTGCAAGTTTGACGCCAGCCTTAGCAACAGAGAAAGCCTCTCAGCAACTAAGTGAGACCCTGTCTCAATATAAAAAATAAAAAGGGGTGGGAATGCAACTCAGTAGGCTGGGTTCAATCCCCAGTACCAAAAAAAAAAAAAGTATAGAATGAATCAAAGGTTTGTGGTTACTGTGAAAATTCCAAGGTTATTCTCACTGGGAAGGGGCAAATGGCTACACACATCAGATGCACTGAACTACATACAGGTCTTATTCAAAAGCGTTGGAAGAAGTAGTGAAGGCCCGGGGCTCTAGGGTACTCTGGGCAGTACCCTTCCGAGGCCTCACGCTTCTCAGGTGAGGGAAATGGATACAATTGCAGGGTTCTACTTCAGAAGTGCTGTGTATCTTTGTGTGTATGGGGGGGCAGGAGGTGCATGTGTGGACACCAGTATGGGTGCATACACATGCATGCTGAATATGACGTCTCTGGTGTACTAAACGTGAGCAGCTGAGAATTCTCTCCTGAATGGCAGGAGGCAGTGGGGAACATGAATGGTGTGGTAGCCAGCTTTGAGATTCACTGGCCAGACATTCTATTGTTGCTACAGGAGTCCGTGATTTTCACCAGTCCTTAGTGGAGGGAATAACACACTAACCATTCTTGAGATGCTGAACAGACTTACAAACTTGCATATTATACGGACACCATATACTAGAGTTATTCTACGAGCAGTTTTGTTCCATGAAAATCCACTTTAACTGTACTGCTTTGCCAACCCCAAGGAGATAGATGTGAGGACCCAAGAAAAGATCTGCCTGCTAGCTCTAAATATTTCTTCAAGATAATTAAGAGCCAAATGTGCTGTATTTCTTAGACATTTGCTTTTTTTTTTTGGTAGTGGGGATTGAACCCAGAGGCGCTTAATCACTGAGCCGCAGCCCCAGCCCTTTTTATTTTTGAGGTACAGTCACACTAAGTTGCCCAGGCTGGCTTTGAACTAGTGATCCTTCTGCCTCAGCCTCCTGGGTTGCTGGGATTACAGGTGGGTGCCACTGTGTCTGGTGCAGGTCAGAATTTCATCATGAGAATTTGAATGGATAATGATGCTTTTAAGGATCCTAGAGAAAACCTATTTTTTTTTTTTTTTGGTCTTCCAGGAGTTTTATACTGTATCAAATGTATACTAACGAAACTTTGTCATTCTTTACTGCCCTGAGCATGGGATGGGATAGACACTATGGACACCTGAGAAGTCCGGCTGCGCATGCCTGATCCCTAACAGGCCGCACACAGAATCCTCCCATCGGTTGGGGTGTGGCTCGGTGGTAGAGCTCTTGCACGAAGCCCTGGGTTCCATCCCCTGCAGTGCACACAAAAATGGGGAAAAAAGAAAAAGAAAAAAAAAATCCCCTCTTCACACGTGGCAAGACTGTTCTCAGAACTGCCCACTTCAACTCCCAGATGAGCTTCTGCGCAACCATTTGGCTCCTTGGCACAGCACATCCGCACAAAATTCTTTCACCTCCGGGTGAGCCGTGTCTCTGGAACTATGCCCTGATAAATCACCCTTGTGACTCTTCCCCCTGACTTCCCCTGTCCCCTCGTATAGGGCCCCAGGTTCCTGTTTTTGAAACTCTGGGATAGCTGAACATAGGGCACCGAATCCTGCTAATTTTCGCTCCCAATTTAACAACAATGTGACTTTAACCCCTTGGCAATCAGTGTTAGTCAGGATTTCCTGGCAGTAAACGCTCAAGGACAGAGAAAGGAATCAGCACCCCCACCATCATGCCAAACCAGTCCATTTTTAAAAAAATCCCTTCAGCATTCTGAAAAAGTAGTGAACTGGCAAAAAATTTGGGGTACTGACATTTTTTTTTGTTTTGTTTTGTTATTGTATTCCCCTAGTTATACCTGATAATGCTGTTTTAATTGTATTTTTGAAGTCTGCATAGACTCTTTCCACTTCCAGGGAGATCTGCCAAAGGCAAGAGTGATTCCCAGGCATGGTGGATCTCTCCTTCACCGCTCACACGGGACCTTCTTATCCTTTAATCTAGGACAAGGGGGTGGGGGTGGGGGTGCACACCTGTAGTCCCAGTGACTCGGGAGTCTGAGGCAGGAGGACCGCAAGTTCAAAGCCAACCTTGGCAACTTAGCGAGAGGCCCTAAGCAATTTAGTGAGGACATGTTTCAAAATTAAAAATGAAAAAGGCCAGCCCTGGGTTCAGTTCCTGGTATCCAAACAACAACAACAACAACAACAAACAGAATAAAAACACACCCAACATCCTCACAACCTAGTGAAAAGGTAGTGTCTTGTCTACCTTAGGAAGAGCTAAATCATTATCTTGGGTCATTACTTGAAAAGTACTCTAGTATCCTTCTGTAGAATATTCCATATAAAATGTATTGATCTTCCAGGGTCACTCTTCTGGATTTTTGCACGAAGCAAAGTGAGCCCTTACACATTCGGTTAGCTTGTACACTATCATCCCAGCTGCCCCTGTATGAGGAACCATATGGTCTTCAGACTTTGTCCCAGTGATTTTACTCTTCTAGTCTGTGACTAAAATGTGCTTAATTATCTGCAGATACTGCATCTAGTGTCTGGATGAGCATCGTTAACAGGAAAGAAAGTGTCATTATAACTAGGATAGGATCCCGATGTGGATCCAGGAACATACAGCAACTGCTGGGGCCTTTTGTAAGAAAAATAGTAAAATGGCGAGAAGAAAAGCACTCAGGCCCTTCCCAGAGCAGGAGAAGGGGCTCTGCAAAAGGGCCCCGAAACCCAAGCCTCACCAACCTCAGGAGAAATCTGCCTCTGGCCATTAGGTTAAATGTACTTTTCATGATTGGATGGACCAGAAAAAAAGTGGGAATGGAGAGCAATATGGTTTCTGTAAGGGAAAAATCAAATTTTTTTTGGAAATACACATCAAATATAATTTATTTTGATTTTCAAAAGTGTTTCCAGATATCAAAGCCAGGATAGGATTAAGGGCACAGTTTCACTAGATGATGAAACTTAAGTCACAGATCTATGGTGTGTCTCCCACGGGAGACAAAAGACGATGGGGAAATGGACTTAATGATGAAATCATGCTCAGTAAGGAAAGTTTACTTTCTTTTTCTTTTCTTTTGGTGGGAGGGATGGAACCCAGGGCTTCATGCCTGCTAAGCACACTAAGAGTAGTGTCCCTTAGTAATCCAATAACATCAGCATTTTAATATACGAAGGGATTATATATGAAGGTTCTTAAGTTTACATCTCCCTGTAAACTTAAAAAAAACCCAGCAAGATGAGGAGTGAATGAGAAAGATCCACTAATAAAGCACAGGTTATTTTGGGGGATTTCTATTACTTAAAAAAATATATATGTATATGATTTTTATTTGTCAATTACACCTCCACAAAGCTGAAAAATGACTTTTAAAAGTATGCACCGGGCTGGGGTTGTGGCTCAGCGGTACAGCACTCGCCTAGCACACGCGAGGCCCTGGGTTCGATCCTTAGCACCACTAAAAACAAATAAACAGAATAAATGTATTGTGTACAACTAAAAAATAAATATTAAAAAAATGCACAGATTTTTTGTTTTAGTTTATAAAAGGGCTTGAGCAATTCTGTTCTTATCATTTTTCTTAGAGAAGGCCCCAACCATTGTGTGCATTTCTGGGTCTAAACAAACCTGGATCCATCTCTGATTCTCTTCTAGTTGCAACGGGCCAAGCAGTTGCAGAATGTGGGCATGCGCTAATTGGCAACACAATTTTTTTCCATAAGTTTTAAGAAAATGGACAGTCAACCTAAAATCATAAGTCTCATCATGCTGATAACACATGTACAAAAAAAAATACCCTAAGATATTCACAAAGTTAAAATTTAAATTCTGGAACTTAAACTTACTGCATTGTGACTTTGTAAGTTATGGGGTATTAAATTTAAACATGACGTTTTCAGAACATATACTCAGAAGTGAGGCAACAGCCTGGGGACTTGAGGGTGCATGTTCCACAGCGGAAACTGTTGTGTAGGTCAATTTCAAGGAGAGCCTTCAAGATCCCTCTGTACCAACTGGGGTTGAAGCAGAACTCATCACTTTATAGCATGAAGGGCAACTTCAATGTAGGAGCCAACTCAACCCTTCCACAAACCATCTATTTGTCAGAGTCAAAACTGGCTTGGGGTTTGGTACATGCTAGTAATCCCAGTGACTCAGGAGGCTGGGATAGGAGGATTGAAAGGTTGAGGCCAGTCTCAGCAACTCAGTGAGGCTCTGTCTCAAAATTAAAAAAAATAAAAGCACCCCTAGGTTAAATCCCCAGTACCAAAACCTAAACCAACCAACAAAAGTCGACTTGGAAAAATGTAGAGCTCAACTTGGGGGAGTCTCCTGATATTTGGATCTCTCAAGGGCCTTGCTTCTTCCCTTTCTGGTTTCTGACTGGTTCCCATCACGTTAGACAAACACTGCTCTCCTCGTCGAACTGTGATAGGCCAATGTATCCTGAAGTGCACTGGGGTTTGGTTTCCTTAACCTCTTTTGTTGTTCCCAACCCTGTGTCCTCTGCTTTTTGAGAATTAGGGGATTCAAAGCGCACAAGGGGTTTTCAAGGATCATCTGCATCCTTGTTGTCTAAATGAAAACAGAAGGAAACCAAGAGACTTTCCACAAACGGTTCTTCATGGCAAACCCCTGACCTAGGACCAAGGCTCTCTCCTGGAACCCACAGGGGCCTTTGAAACCACAGCTCTTTCAGCTGAGACTTGGGGGCAGCGCCTTCTGAAGGGCTGTTTTCCTCGAGGTGCTAGTTGAGGGCTGTGTGTGATAAAAGAGAAGTTTGAAAGGCTGTCAGCTGTAATTCGGCCTCCCCACGTGGTTTCGAGATGGAAGACAAACAAATGAAAACTTAATAAGAAGAATTGTTCACACTCAAATCAACTAGCATAAAACCACAGCTCTTAAAAAAGAAAAAAAAAATCATCGAATGCCAGCCAGGCAGCTACTCAGGGTAAACAAGGGCCCTGGCCAACTGAGACCAACCATTGGGGGAAAAAAAATATCCAAATGCTTTCCTTCTTAAATATACGAACGATGATGATGATGATGATGATGATGATGATTAGTGCTGGGAATTGAATCTAGGGACTCACACATGTTAGGCAAGCACTCTGCTTACTACTGGATTATGCTCTAGAATATTTACTTTTTTCCTTCTCTCAGAAAAAAAAAACAACAAAAAATCTACTATTGGTTCAGATCTGTTATAGCTTTAGCTATTCCTGACAGCCCTGGCAATTAATTAATTAATTTTATAATATTGATATATGGATTAATGATCCCCAGAGCTCAACTTCTCCATCAGCAAACTACATAACAGTGCTCTCCTGCCTTTTATTTCCACTGGAGTTCCTGATTCTCTTCTCTTTTGGGACCCTGTCCCCCCAGCCCCCAAGTCTTCTTTTCTCAGGGGGGCAAATTCCAGCTCACTGGAGCTTTTCCAAAGATGGAGGAAAAGAGATCCCACTTTGTTTAGCTCTAAGCGTCGGATTTTAAAAGACAGCTATCTTTCCGATGGGTTGAGTCACCAGATTTGATGGCCTCTGTAAATTTTAGAAGGCACAGAAATGTTTTCACCAGAGTTTACAATTCCATCTCGGTTTTACGATTCGGTAGGCTCACATTTCACACGCCGCTCAGGGTGACCACTTTACCGATGGCACCAGTTTGCTCCTGTCATTATAAGAACAGCGACTCCTCATGTGCCCATCATAAACAAAGGGATGCTTTGGAACCCAAAGTCCAATATAGTGCAAATAAAAAAGTTTTATTTGTTTGTAGATAGAGTGCAGCCAGGGCTTCACCATCTCTCAGATACGGAGGGAAACGTTGGCTGGCACACCGAGGGCTTTTCTATTTATTGTTTTATGACAAACTATGGCCCTGAGAATAGTTTCTGAAAACCACTCTCTATTTATTTTCGTCAACAAACATGGGATCATGTGACAGTGATACACCCAGGGTGACGGCTGCACCGGAGCAATAGTCAAACACTGGGCACTTCCAAAGTCCATTCAGCTACTCAACTGCCTTCCGGAAAGGGAGCTCCCCAGCGCTAGCACCATCCGGGTTTCCAGAGGAGAGCAGGGATCTCTTCGAGAAGGTGCTGCAGAATCAGTCCCATCCTATTTGAGGGTGGCCAAAGTCCTGTTGCTCCCCAAGAAGTTTCTTCTCCAGGTTTCCACAGCCCAGAGACTGGGATTCCTAACCATTTTTCTTTTAGGCAAGATAACCCCAAGTTGGGGTACCTCATACCAAACCTACGGTGTTCCAGCTGATGGGCAAGCAGGAACATTGAGTTCATCTGTTTGGAAAGGCCTCCAGGAATAAGATATGGAAGAAGGAAGTTTAGCTGGGGAGAGGAGAAGCTCTGGGTTAGCTTGGAGGCAAATGTGAGGAGGGCAGCTGGCGGTCCCTCTCTGGCCGTGGTTTAATGAAGCAGTAAGATAAATTTAAAGAATGGCCTCTTCTAAAGGCTGTTTCCTTTTCCAAAGGTTCTGGGTAATTGGTCATCCGCTAAGCTGAGCAGCCTCCTCCGAGCTTGGCCTCACTAACACGGATGACATCAATCTCCAACAGGGTTGCAGAATGACACTCAACTGCTTTACCACTCAACCTTGGCCATTTTCCCACATCCCCCACCCTCTCCAGGGTCCCCACTACTGCAAAACTTTTCCTATCAGTGCAGATCTCAGCTTTCATGAGTTCATGCCAAGAGATAACATAACACCCCCCTGAGAGAGATGCTATCACATGAATAACGTGACCACCCTGACAAAGACCCAATCTCTATTCTCATTGGAAATCACATTTTGGTTTTTTTTTTTCTTTTCTCCCATTTTTTTCCTCTCTCAACTGTTTCCACTGATGCTTAATTTGATTTTGCAAGATAAGGAGAAAACAGAGTGCCAAACAATCCTATTTCAGTTCTGTGTAATCAGTGAGCGGATTATTTTAATTTGGCCCAGTCTCTCTTTCTTTTTCCAGACCCTAACTAGAGGCAATTCTGTCTCTATCTAGATCGCCTAATAATGTCCAGTTTGGTGAGCAAATATTGGGCTAGTGAGAAGTCCTCTGCGGAAAGTCCAGCTTTTCAAAGGGCACTGGTGACAGTTTTCAATTCAATTAAACAAATACGGTCTGAGTAACTATTATGGGCAAAGCACACCCAGACCTAGCGAAGCCCAGACCCAGTTACTAAAGGGGAGAAACAACGGACTAGCCCTCTCAACTTGAGAAGCTTGTAAGCAGGTATTTTGTAGCCCTTTCCTTTAAAATAGCTCCATAGTTATTTATTCCATAAAGAAGCTCTAGTTATCTTATTTTTAACTCAAAGAACCAAGGAGTCGACTGGGACGAATGATTTACAATGATTTGGATTCTATGTCCTTTGGAGCCAAGATAAGACTATGTGGGCCACCAGGGACATAAGTTTAAACTCTTGACTCTTAGGGATTTCTTTCTTTTTAAAAAATCTGCCCCCTGTCTTCCAGGTGCTTTTAACTTGACAGGATTTCCAACAGGGATTGCAGGTCTGGTTGGGAGGAGGAGGTGAGGGCTGGTCAATTGGAAGGCCTAAGCCATCCAGTGGAGCCAGTGTTGGCTGTAGGGCTCACTCCTTTTCAGCAATCCTGTCCCTAGACGTGCTGATGGCAGGCTGCTGCAGTGTGCCCTAAAGTGTGACCGCCCTGCAGCTGTCCTGGTCTTCCCTTTATTTGACTACCTGGACATGAACAAGAGTTCACCGTCTGCAGTGGGAGCAGCTTCGTGAATCTTCATTCACGGGTGATTCGCTGTGGTCTGAGTTTTTCATTTAATGAACACGGAGGCTCGGCTTTACGAGCACCTGTGTCCCGTCGCCTGGCATCAGCAGGAGGTGACAGTCCTGGTCAGTGGGATTCGAGAGCAAAGCTGCTCCGGTAAAGCTTCCTGACGGGGAACAGGCGGAGATGGCAGAAGGCGGTGGGCCACACCAAACCCAAAATGGCTATTTTACCAAGTGATAGAAAGAGAGCATCTGAAGAAGGTGCTCCCACACTGCAGCGTTCCTCTCTGGACTTTGGTTGGCTTGTCTTTAATAAGAGACTATTAAGAAAGAACAGCAGCCAGACGATGGCTGTGTGGCCCAAATGTTAAGAAGTGGGGGTTTAGTTTGAAATTATAATGAGCTGTAATTGTTAAGGTACAATGACCTCTTTCTCTCTTTATATCTTTATTTTATTTATTTTTTTCCTATAGGCCACGTGCCTCTATCCCACAGTTTTTATTTTTGTTTTTATGGTCCTGGGGATTGAAATATGAGGGTGATTTACCACTAAGCCACATCCCCAGTTTTAGTTTTGGGGACGGGTTCTCGCTAAGTTGCTGCGGCTGGCCTTAGATTTTCAAACCTCCTTCCTCTGCATCCTGAGTTGCTGGGATTACACTGAGCCACCATGCGGGGCTATCCTGCAGTCTTCTATTTAGCTGATTCTACTAAATAGTTTAGCTAAAGGGAAAAAAAAATAATATCTTGAGGAGGTCATCCAAATACATTAAAAGGTAATAAGATTTCCCCTAAAATGTATCTGAGCAGGCAAAAAGTCCCACACATCTATTAGCTGGGTAGCTCTCCTGAAGGTATTCACTTGAAAATCAATGACTGCATGTAGGGCTTCTGGAACCAGAATCCAGCTATAGTTTCGTTAGGTTTTAATATAATTCCATGTTGCTTTTTAAGCTTCCTATCAGGGAAGAGCTCCACTTGGAGAATTTGGCTTAGTAAACCATTCTAACCCGTTCTGAGTTTCCTAAACGGTGCTTCTCCATGAACCTGAAGATGTTTAAAGCACCCATTTAATGCCAGGCGCAGTGAAGCACGCCTGTCATCCCAGCGGCTCGGGAGGCTGAGGTAGGAGGATCAGGAGTTCCAAGCCAGCCTCAGTGACTTAGCAAGGCCCTAAGCAACTCGGCGAGACCCTGTCTCAAAATAAAAAAATAAAAAAAGGGGCTGGGGATGGGGCTCAGTGATTAAGTGCCCCTGGGATCAATCCCTGGTAGCAAAAAAAGTAAAAAAAGAGAATCCACTTGAGGGCTGAGGGTGTAGCTGAGGCTATAGCTCAAGGGTAAAGCACTTGTTTGATGCTAAGAAAGGACATGGATCCCCATAGGGTGGTAGCATGAAGGGGCTTCGAGTTCATTCATCAGAGTTAAGGGGACCTCGTACCTTCTTGTTCTCAAAGGTTCCATTCCAATTTAGAGGAATGTATAGTATACATATATATGTATATTTTTCCCTCCAAATAATGTCTACTTATCCCATCTGAAGACACCTCCTGTGGTTCAGACTCTCCTGTGATGTGTTAACAGCCAACAGTTGAATGGCACTCTGCATACGCAGGAGTAACACGGTAAAAATCACTTACCCAAAGGAAATGATCCCCTGCCTCCACCCCTGCTCCTGCCCCGGCCCCGGCCACCCCCAGTGAAGGCAGCAGAAAAGAACTAACTGATTTGTCTGTTGTCTTTCCTGTTAAGATCGCCCTCGCCTTGGCTTTGGTCAGCGGGAAGGACTTTATGTATGAGTCATACAAATGCTTTGCCAGGGCCCGGAGATCAGCAGACTCGGGGTTCAGCTGGTCGATATCACTGGAGATCTCGGCCAACAGCTTCTCCTTCTCGGCCTGTGGCATCCGCCCAAACCTGATGGCTGTAGAGGAAGAGGAATGACAGGATGAATCACTGAATTACTACTGCTCCTGGGGCCTCTGTTCCCTCCCTGGCCCGAGTTCCCACCGGGTCAGAGCCTCTCCCCTCACTACTCATCTCAGAAAGTGGTTTCCCTCTACCACTTTCCTCATGTTTGTATTTCGTGACCGTAGCCCCGATGATCAGTAAAAACTTAAACTGTTCACATCTTTAATTAAAAAAGAAAAAAATATATATATGTAATACATGATCCTGCCAGGAAAGTCAAAAAGTTTGTTTAGCCCAGGGAAGAAAATTTAAACATGAAATGATTGGGAGCCAACTCCTATCCATCCCTCAAGACCCCGTTTAAATGTCATTTTCTTTGGGAGGCTTTTAAGGGCAGCGAATGATTCTTTCCCGTGGACTCCACTGGCCCTTGGTATATACTCCAATGAGAGCAATTTTCACATTGTGCCAGAATCATTAAATTTACACGCCTATTTATCCCACTATAGAACAATGTCCTGAAGGCCAGAGATAGTGTCTTATTTATTTTTGTGTCCCCAGGATGATCTGCACGTTTCATGAACTAAAGTAAGGAACTGCGCAGGATTCAAAGTAGCACAAACAGAGGCTTTGTTCTCAGGGATTCTGGAGGATCTGGTTTGCTCCTGTTAACCCAGAGATACAGACGGTGCTTTATTTCACTTACCAGGACAGACCGGGCTTTGGCACTTAGTAGGGAGACGTTGAACTTATTCCCTGATCATGAACCCTGTAATGCTTTGTCAGAAAGACAATATCCTAAAATTTGGCGTCTCGGGGGGTGAGGAGGTGTGAAACCAGAAGGAAAAGAAAGAAGGGCCAGGAAGAACAGTTAAGAGAGGTCAGCAAGCCCTAAGGAGGGGGAAAAAATAATCCGCTGGGGCTGGGAGTGTGGCTCAGTGGTAAGCGCTTGCGGAGCATGTGTGAGGCCCTGGGTTCCATCCCCAGTTTCTGGTGGTGGGGGGGAATTGTGGCATGAATCTTGGGAAAAATCACACTTATTATATAATGAAATAGAGGTGGCTAAATCACCACTGTCTGATTTCAAAGACCCCTAAATACCGTCTCTTCCCAGATGCCTAATGATTGAGCGTGCCAGGCACTGTTCTAAGCTTTTTGTAAATTTTTACAGATAAGAAACTATAAATATACATAGATGTTTACATGCCTAGGAAAGCATTTCCTTTTTTCCTAGTGGACAATTTAAAAAGCTTTCAATAGCCAAAGATAGCCACTTACTGCGCTTATTATGCTGATAGTCCTGCTTTCTCATACCTAACAAAAATATCCAAAAATCACTTAAACTTTAAAAAGTCTTTTTTTTTTCTTTAAACTCCTGGGATTCCAGGGGAATTCTACCCTTGGGGCTGTATCCCCAGTCCTTTTTATTTTTGTTTTGAGACAGGGTCTCTCGTGCAGTTGCTCAGGCTGGCCTTGAACTTGTGATTCTCCTGCCTCACCCTCTTGAGTCGACAGCCCTATACCTCTGTGCCCGCCTGAAAATTATTTTTAATCATGAGATATTAAAGCAAGCTATTTCTCCTAGAATCTAAATACAATGTGAATTTTCACAAATAAAGTTCCCAAAAGGCCTAAGTCTTTCTTTTTTTTTTTTTTTTCTCCTTTTTCTGAGACAGGGTATTGCTAACTTGTCCAGGCTGGCCTCCAACTTGGGATCCTCCTAGAAAAGGCTGAATCTTCTGAAACAATTATTTGTATTGTTAAATGTCTATGCTACACATTAGGTCTAGCTGTAAGTGCGACTAGTTAATGTAGGCGATTTTAGTATTTTTATACATTGGAGGCTCAGAAAAGGGATGAAAAAAATATATCTTATTTGGTGGGACTGAATTTGCATACAACATACAGAAATCTGAAGTTACAGAGGTAATAAAAACTTTCATTTATGTGTGTGTGTTTATTTTTGTAGTACTAGGGATAGAATCACTGAGCTGTATCTATAGCTCTTTACTTTTTGTTTTAAGCTTTGAGACAGGGCCTCGGTAGGTTGCCCAGGCTGGCTTTGAAGTTGTGACCCTGCTACCTCAGTGTCCTGAGCAGCTGCGATTACAAGAGTGCACCACCACTGGCTTGTGTTCTTCTTCTTCTTTTTTTTTTTTTAAGGGGAAAAAGCTGACTTTGTTTTGTTGCTTTGGGGTCCTGTTTGGTCATACCTGTGTGCCCCACGTGAAGTACTACAGAAGGCACAGAAGTGGTCAGTGCTTCCTAAACAGACCTTTTATGACTGTGGCTGAAGTGGTGGCTGCTGTAGATTACAGATCAGAATAGCAGCCAGGGCACACTGCTCTCCCCACAGATAAAGGGAAAAAAGGCAAAACAAAACTTATCTCTGTCCCTCTGGTTAGGGGATGGTGATTTTTAGTTGAGCAATGTTTTTTTTTTTTTTTTCTCCTGCTGGAGATGGAACCCAGGGCTGGGCACAGGCTGGGCAGGCCTCTACCCCTGAGCCACAACCCCAGCCCAGGTCCCACTGTTTCAAGTAGGGAATCTGTGAACCAAGAGGAGGGACATTATGGGAGTTGAATGGTCATTTCCTAGAAGTTCTTCCTAAACCAGAGTTTGGAAATAGAGATGAACATTCTAGACTAGGAACCAGCACTATAAAGGCTGAGCGTGCCCACATACAAGTGAATGTTTCCAAATCTTCTATCATTGATGATTAAACTTCAGAGAGAGGGGAAAACACTCTGTATATTGCTGTGAGTCACTGTGTGAGAACTTTTGGTTTCTGGAAGGCAATGGAACTCATGCTGCACTCTACACAGTCAGCAAGTTCACTTTCTAGTCTCTGCTCTGTGACGAACCAGCTGGGTGACTTTCAGATAATTACTTAACTTCTCTGGTCCTCAACTGCTTGATCTACAGAATGGAGGACCAGAAAAAGAGGATCTCTCAAGGTTCCTCCCTTTAGCTCTGTATTTAGCTCTAAACTCTGCACATGTCTGTGACACGAAGTACTTAGAAACATACTCTGCTTTCTCTCTCTCTCTCTTTTTTTTCCCCTTGTGGAAAAAAAAGAGAGAGAGTGCCCCAGGGGCACTCTACCATTGAGCTATATCCCAGCCCGCACCCCCGTCCCTCGCTTTTTAAAAATATTTTTTTTAGTTGTCAATCACCTTTATTTATATGCGGTGCTGAGAATCAAACCCAGGGCCTCACACATGCTAGGCAAGTGCTCTGCCACTGAGCTATGACCCCAGCCCAACCCAGCCCTTGTTATTTTTTATTTTCAGACAGAGTCTCACTAAGTTGTTGAGGCTGGCCTTGCACTTACCATCCTCCTGCCTCAGCCTCCCCAGTCACTGAGATTACAAGTGTATGCCACCAAACCTGACTTCAGCTCTCTCTCTTTTTTTTTTTAAATATATATTTTTAAAATTGTCAACAGACCTTTATTTTGTTTATTAATTTATTTGTATGTGGTGCTGAGAATCAAACCCAGTGCCTCACACATAACAGGCAAGTGCTCTGCCACTGAGCCACAACCTCAGCCCCACTTGTTCTATTTTTTAAAGCAATATTGGTCTACTTTTTGAGGCCCTAAGTGGGGAAAAAGTATTTTCTGTTCTACAGATCTAGCACCTATCACAGAGAGCAACTTTCTGAAACCTGGCATTCAGTTTCATATTTGGGATAATAAATCAGCTAGAGAGGGCTGCGGGCAGAACTCAGTGGTAGCTGGTGTGCCTAGCACGTGTGAAGCCCTGGATTTGATCCCAGGCACTGCAAATAAATAAAAAATAAAAATAAATTTAAAAAAAATGAAAAAAATCACAGAAAATTCCTTTATCATGGTTAAAAAGAAATTCTGAATATTAGACTCAGTAGGCTCTTGATATGAAGACTAGGTTTGATAGAGGCTCATTAATTTCTGAGTGAAACTGTATTAGCTTATACTTTAAAAAATACACTTTTTGGGGCTGAGTTTGTGGCTCAGTGGCAGCGTGCTTGCCTAGCACGTGCGAGGCCCTGGGTTCGATCCTCAGCATCACATAAAAATAAAATAAAGGTATTGTGTCCAACTACAACTCAAAAATAAAATAAAAAAAATTTTTAAAAATGCACTTTTGCGGGCTGGGGTGGTGGCTCAGTGGTAGAGTGCTCGCCTAGCATGCATGAGGCACTGGGTTTGATCCTTGGCACCACATAAAAACAAACTAATGTATCCACCTAAAACTAAAAATACTTAAATAAATATTAAAAAAAAATGCACTTTTGCTAGCATAGGACAGATTCATCCTCGAGTACTTCTCCTGATATTACCGAACAGCAAACTCCAAGTGCACAAAATAGATATCCTGCTGTCTGGATCTGGGTACAGCACTAAGAGACAAGTAATAGACACATTCTCAAAATACCTATCTAACTGTAGGAGCGTGAAAGACAGAAGCTACTTAATTACAAAGGTTAATTAATACAGGTTCTCAAGATAATAAATCAATAGAAAACAGCCCAATGAAACCAGTTGTGTCTTATTAAAAATATATTTCTCTTTCAACATCTAAGGGATGGAATTTGCAATCATGTTAGGGCTTGATAGTGAGTAAAGCCACCTCTCCTGGTCACTGTTCCCACTTTTTATGGGAACTTTTAGTTTTTTATTTTTTTAATATTTATTTTTTACTTGTACTAGGACACAATACCTTTATTTCATTTATTTATTTTTATGTGGTGCTGAGGATCAAACCCAGGGCCCTGCATGTGCTAGGTGAGCGCTCTACTGCTGAGCCACAACCCAACCCCGGGAACTTTTATTTTTTTGTGTACAGATAAGACATAAAACTGTTGGTATTCGCATGGCTATTGCTAATAAGTTATACTTTTCTACCTTTCTCTGCTTTTTTTTTTTTTGCAGTCTCAAGAGCCTTTCACATACTAGACAAGCACTCTATCACTGAGCCACATCCTCCTTAGCTTCCGACATCTCTTGAAGGAAACAACAAATAACCAAACAACAACAACAACAACAACAAAAAGAAGAAACAAGAAAGAAAATTTGTGCACTTTGAGGTTTTGTGGGACTCGGCAGTCTAATAACTACGACTTTCTAGTTCCTCTAGAGGAAAAGAAGGAACAATCCGACCGCCAATACTATTTTTACGTAGGGGTGACATTTATCTAATTATTGGCAGAGGGCATTTAAACATTTACCTAGGTGTCTTTGCAGAAATGTGCAAAACACCACCTTCCTTCACCTTCTGATTTGTTTCCAATACTCTGAAGGCTAAAGTTCATTCAGGGAGTATCTGTTTTGATTCAAGACACTGTGCCACACATTCTGCGCTGGGAGACACAGGGACAGAACGATGCCTCCAGAGGGGCCAGAAGAAACACTGTGGATGAATCTCTCTTGCTGTCTGACTGACTGCGTCCCTTCTGCCAGAGCAGACAGGTCTCAGCTTCCTACCCGGCCACCTCGCCCTGGCAGCATTTCTGACTGACCTGCCCTTTCTGCGATCGAGCTTTTGCTGAGCTGAACTAACTGAAACTGGAAGCCCTGAATGCTCTTCTCGTGGCCAGACCCAGGGGCCTCTTGTGCATTTTCAATCTGCTCGCATTAGGAGGACTCCCCCACCTTCCACACACTGGACCATCTCCACCCTTTTCCTTAAAAAAATTTCTCCTCCTGGTTTTCTTTCCTGGTGGCCCCCTTTCTGCTGTTTCCCAGATTTCTCTGCCGGTCCTTCCTTGGTGCACACTCTGCTGTTCCTATTACAGCTTCCCCCCAACCAGCAACAGGTACTAGTGACTCCTGCTTTCTCTTTCTCAAGATTTAGGTCTTTATTTTGCATGCCTTCCGGTCTTCCTTTATACTCAGAGGCTCCATGTTCCTTAAACACAAATAACTTCCAAACCATCTCTTCTTCCTGTGTCCCCCCCGCCCCCCTCCAACTTGGTCCATCCATTCTCTGGTCATCCAGAGGAGATGCCCAAGTCAGTCTCTGACACCCTCTCTCCTCTCAGACACTTTTACTCCTTGGTCACAGCTCACTTCCTCCCGTCTCACCTCCCCAGAGTTCCCAGCATAGCGTTGGTCTTCTGATGGAAAGATCCCTGGTTCTTTCCCCTCCCTCTCTGGTTGCGGTGAGAGGTGTGGTGTTGAATCACACAGACCTAAGTAAGCACTCCCTTGCTTTTCAAGGCAGACTGCGGTGTCCCAGGAAGGGATAAATCACGCAGAAGAGGAAGCACAAGGAATCCATAAAGTCTTATGGAAGACAAGACTTTTGAACTGTCAGGGAACGTAAGGGCATGATCTATAGAGGCCCCGGATGTTTACAAACACAGAACAAAGCAGTTTGCTTGAAGTTCTGCTCAGAAGAAGCAGAGTTGGGGCGGGGGGCTCCTTATCGGTTTATCATCTATGCCATGCAGGTTTGAGTGACAGAGCTGCCTTTTCTGAAGTTAACATTTGGGTAATTTTCCTTCCTACCATAAAGATCAAGGATGCTTGGCTCTGTTGCTTTGGGCCTCAGGAAGCACATCATGGTGGGAGTGCATGGCAAAAGAGGCCCCCTTCACTTCATGGTGGGCAGGAAGCAAAGAGAGACAGAAGGGGGTGGGGCCCCAGTGTTCTCTTCAAGAGCACGCCCCCAATGACCTAACCTCCTTGCAATAGGCCCCTCCTCCTAAACATTCTGCCCTTCCCAGTAGTGCCACAGGCTGGCAACCAAGGCTTTAACACATAGGTCTCTGAGGGGGGCACTTATCAAAACCATAGCAAAGGTTAGAGAAAACAAATATTAGGGTAAATTGAAACACATTTTTCATTTAGCTTTTTTTTCTTTCTCAATATATACTAGAGCTATTTTCAAAGCATCAAGACAACTACCTTAAAAATGCTGAGTGCTACAAAAACTGGTGAAACCATTTTTCTATATTTGATGAAGTCACTGAGAAATTATCTTTTAAAGTAGTCAGCTTTTTGTAAAAAAGAAAAACCTCTCACATTATTTATATCACTGGACATCTAATCAGCAAAGCTAAGGTTTTGCTCCCTTTTTTTGAATGCTGCAGATTAAACCTAGGGCTTCACATAGGGTAGGCAGTTGCTCTCAGTGGAATCCCCAATGCTCAGTCATTTTTTTAAACTTACGAAAAGCACAATTTTTTAAAAAATCAACTTTCAGTGTTCTAGGGCACATGTAACTGAACTGACTCCTAAGGAACCCAAGCCAGTCTTTTCTCAGATTATTTTTTAAATGCGCTGACCCTGGACTTACTATTGTTCCGGTCACACACAAAAGGCAGTTCTGGGGGCTGGGGTTGTGGCTCAGTGGCAGAGTGCCTTCCTCTTGCATGAAAGGCTCTGGGTTCAATCCTCAGCACCGCATAAAAATAAATAAATAAAATAAAGGCATTGTGTCCATCTACAACTAAAAAATATTTTTTAAAAAAGGAACAACAGAAATTTCAAAATTGAAAGAATTCAGTGCCCACCAACTTCAGTAATGTTCCAATTATATCCCTCAGGACCCTTAGAATTCTTTGACAATTACTTCAGAATCTGCCTTCAAATATATTAAATGGATTAAACAGAGACCAAAGAGCAGAAATAATAGTGATATAGAATGGGGTGAACTTACTTTGGGGGATGTTCTTCTTTTTCTTGCAGACACTGAAAACTGATTTTTGGCATAATACTAGATGCCTCTTTTGGTAACGAAAAAGACATTTTATATGATCGGAAAAATCATGACTATTGCCTTATTTAGACAAAGTAATGAGCTTTTTTTTTTTTGCTTTTGTTTTGCAGTACTAGGTATTGAACCCAGGGCCTCTTGCATGCTTCAACTATAGTCCCCAAGTCATGAATTTTAAACAGTGACTATAACTACCTAGAAGACTTTGTGTTTAGAAATGTTTACTTCATCAGAATAACAGGCAACACTTATCAAGTGTTATGTCTCCTTTCTTGGGCTCAGAGAATCTCGATGCTTTCTTTCCTGTGCAAAGGACACACTGCCATAAAAACCTACAAGGAGGGTTTTCTTAGTCAAGTTTGCAATCCTTTAAGTGTTTAGCTGTTTAGGTCTCTCATATACTGATATTCAATTCTTAAATTTTTCTTGCCTTTTCAAAAACTGAACACTTCGTCAAGATTGCCCCTCTCTCAAAGCAGAATAACCTAATTGTTGCATGAAGTTAAAAGTGAGGGCTGGGGATGTGGCTCAAGCGGTAGCGTGCTCCCCTGACATGAGCGGGGCGCTGGGTTCAATCCTCAGCACCACATAAAAATAAAATAAAGATGTTGTGTCCCCCGAAAATTAAAAAATAAATGTTTTTAAAAAATTCTCTCTCTCTCTCTCTATTGTAGCTCTCCAATTTTTCTGGGAGGAGGTAATTATACCACCCATACTACCAGGCTTTTTTCTTTTTTCAGGGCTGGGAACAGAGCCCTGCACACCAAGCACGCACTCTACCACTGAGCTAAACCACCAGCCAGTAGGTTGGGCTATGTATGAATAATATTTGCCTATAAACAATAAGCAACCAGGGATATATTTTATGTGAATGTTTGCTCTGCCTGTAAACAGCAGGAAACATTTTACATCAACATGTGCAGTTCCTGAAAGTATTAGGAATTATATTTCACAAGAATGTGTGAAGTGACAATTGTTTTAATCGGCAAAAAAAAAAACCCAAACAGCATTATGAGTAGAATGGGCAGGTTTCCTGAGCTATCTTGATGATAACGACCTCAGAGTCCAGGGTTTCTTCATAAAGATAAAATAAGTTTATTGGAACTTGATTGCATCACGTAAAATAGAGAGCTCTCTTGACTTGAAAACTTGCCCTTATGTTTTATGAGGCTTGAAATAAAAAGGAGACGGATGGAATTCAACCAGCAAATTATTTTGCAATCAGTGACTGCAGTTGTACTAAGCAGATGTGGTCAACTGTTGAGGAAAGTTGGATCAAATTCCTGTCCTGTCCAATGCTGTTGATAGCTCTATTCATAAGAGATTCTTGCCTTTGGAGGAACTGATCTATGCTAACAACTCTAATTCTGCAAACTATTTTTAAAGGGTAGAGTATCAACCAATTAGCGGTTCCCAGATATCTTGATGATTTCCATCGTGAAAACCAAACATCTGCACAACGGAACAAAAAAAAAATTAATCAGATAGATGAGGATTGACTTCAAAGATGATCTTTTTACCAGATCAGTTTTGAGAGAGAGGAAAGCAAAGGCAAGACACAAATCAGAGTTGAGGATGTATACAGTGGTAGAGTGTGTGTTTACCAGGGGTAAGGCCTTGGGTTTGATTCCCTGAAGAAAGGGAGGAATGAACGAATAAAGGATAGATGGAAGGAAGGGGAAACAAGATACTAAATGAAACGAAACTTTGGATTCAATTTGGTCACTTTGAGATTTTTTTTTTTATTTCTTGAAGCTATAATGATCTCTCTCTCTCTCTCTACTATTTATTGGTAAGTTGCCGAGGCTGACCTTGAACTTGCAATCCTCCTGTTTCCTGAAGCCAAGGACAGAGCTACACTCCTCTTTGCATAGTAAAGAAGGAAGGAAGGAAGGAAGAAAGGAAGGAAGGAAGGAAGGAAGGGGAGGAGGAGGAGGAACATAAATCTAAATTCTGATATGCCACTTAAAATTCCATTTACAGAATTCTTCAAGATTTTCTTACATTTAACTTAGAAACTGCACATTAAGTATAATTCTGTTTTAAAGCAGCATAAAGTGAATCACGATAATTACTGCCTTTATTTTTAAAACAGTATAGTCTTCCCCCTCCCCCCTCCCCACTCCCCCCAGGTTTTCAAGTCTTTTCTCCCATCATCACCGCGAGGCTCAGCCACAGAGAGAAGGATTCTATACTAAGAGTTTAAAATCACTGACCTAAGTGAGAAATGTCTTCTTGGCACGTGATATTCTGAAACCTGATGTTTTGTGGGGAAACTGTACGCATTGCCAGCAAGGGCCCTGGTGCCTGCTGACCTGGCAGCTACCAAGTGTATGACAAGATTTTGGTGACAAGTGTTCACTTACCGTTATGAGACATCCCCACAGCCAGGCATTTCTGAAATCGACAGTACTGACATTTATTTCTACTTTTTTTGTGGATCCGACAGTTGAGATCACACCTATCATAAATAAGCTTCAATCGGATGGTCCTCCGGAAGAAACCCTGCAAAGGGATTTGGGAGAAAAAAAAAAGAAAAGAAGTGAATTTTTTAAAAGTCTTTAGGACACTTGGAAGCAAAGTCCCATAGCTAGAGGGACATGGGTGTGGGTATCAGAAGAGGCAGGTTCTTAAAGCAGTTTTACCAACTGGAGGCCTTAGGCAAGTCCCTCAGCCTCTCTGGAACTTGTTTCTTTGCTATTAAAAAATAAAAATAAAATTAAAAAAAGGAGCCAGAGGATGGATCTCTAGTGTGCTTTTTTAGCTCTCAGATGGACGGAGCACATCCAACTGATGTCACTTTGTGTACCCTGGCTCCGTGTTTGCTTTTCAGCCAGCTCTAAGAAGTGCTCTGGATTTAATGTAATGCAAATAAAACACCATGTAATCAGTCCAGCCTCTCTGCAAACCATTCCAACAGCAGGCCCCGGCCTTTATAATTTGTGCTAAACAGTTTGGCAAAGTTAGAATCATTTCATTCTAAAACGTGATCGGGGCCAATACAAATCCACATGTGGATAATTTTTTTTTTTTTAATTCTCTATGTTGCATAATTTCCTGCTGAATGTTTCATTTATTTGTACGGTTGAAAGAGAGCCTCACTGTCGGAGCCTACAGACAGAGATAGTAGGAAATAATAGACAAGTGATATAGAAATCCTCAGAGAATCTGCTATCTCAAAATGGCAAGCACATCCATTTGGGGCAAAGGGGATTTTTTCTGCTCTCTTTGCCACATCTTTTGAGGGGTGAATGGGAAAGGTTTGCAATCAGAAATGTCTTCTCACTTCATTTTTGGGAGTTAATCAGATTCCTATTCATTTCTCTAGTGTTCATCTTCCTGAAAGAATTCAAACTGATCAGGTCCCCTTTGGTACGAAAACCACTGGTTTGGTATTGGCGCAGCGGCCACTGGTGTGCACCCTGACTTTCTCCAGAATTTCATCTTTAAATCTTGGTGTGCATGTTCTACTCCTTACTTGACGTCTTTACTTGGAAACCCAATGGCCATCTCCACTCCAGCCTGTCCAAAACTAGAGTCCTGATCATCCCCTGTGAATGATACCACTCCATCTTCTCCAGCCAAAGAGCTTCAAAGTCACTCTTGACTTCTTTCTCTCAGATGGGAAGCCCTTTTTTTTTTTTCTAAATACAGGTTGAGTAACCCTTGGGATCGATGCTAAAAAATTTTGGAGCGCTGTGGATTTTGGATTAGGGACACTCAGCCCGTACACACTTGCCCATCAGCCTCAATGTAAGTTTGGGTCATATCTCACCTTCTCAACGAGCCTCAACCACCCTAACGAATACTATGGCCTGCCCCTGCCCCCTTCTTTTCGAGAACTCTCGGTCTCCTTTACTGTGCTATAGTTTATCTGGTTTCCGACAGCAATTATGACTTTTCAAATATCACAGAAATTTCCTATGATGTTCAAGGTTTCCGTCCGGCCCCTCCCTGCTTCTCAATTAAAAATCATGAGCTACATGGGGGTGGGGATGGTCTTTTTTACCCCTGGACACATGCAACACCTATAGCAGCACTCTGTTAAAGTGACACCCATGCCACTTCTCTTCCCTTCTGGCCTCACCTGAGCACCGGAGGATGAGAAAAGCACATCCCTCTCTGACAGCTGGTGACCCTAAAATGTGACAGACTTTACAAGGGCCACTGGCATGTTCTTCTAATTTTTTTTTCTTTTCTGATGAAACGTGATATTAATTACCAATGAAAAAAATCAGCAATCATAAAGCACAGGAGATGTCACACATGAACCTATTTTCTGACACTAGACTTAAAATCATGACCAGCAACTTGCATTTATGTCTGTATTGTTCCAATCCTTGCTCCCTGTCCTCCCTGGACAAAGCAATCACTATTCTCTATTTTGTGTGGATTGTTTCCTTGCCCATTAGGACAAGCCAACTTTATCCACTAGCCTGTGAAACGACACAACATTTTGTTTCATTAAGCTTGTTCTGAGGCCTTGAGTGATTTCATACAATATGTAATGGAGGGGGGATCTCTCTCTTTGTTTTTATAAATTGAGCATTTCATTTCCAAAATTTATTCACTTTCCAGCGAAAAGCCATGCAATTTATTAATTTTCTTTTATATTTTTATTGGTGCATTACAGTAGTATAATTTACTCATTTTCACAATTATATACTATTTCATTTTATGACTATACCACGATTTATTAACCTACTCCTATGGTGATGGCTATTAGCATCACTGCCAATTTTTAGCTCTCAAGGGGCAGTGCTTCTATAAATAACCTCGTAAACATTTTATGATGTACATGTTTTAAGAATTACGTTGGCATGCTCGCTTGGGCAGCACATATACCAAAATTGGAATGGCACAGAGAAGATTAGCATGGCCCCTTTGCAAGGATGACAATCAAATTCATGAAGCATTCCACAGTTTTTCTATACTCAAAGGATTTAAAATCAGCATACCACAGCGAAGCAGCCACATCAATGTTTATAGCAGCTCAATCCACAATAGCTAAACTGTGGAACCAACCTAGGTGCCCTTCAACAGATGAATGGATAAAGAAACTGTGGTATATATATATACACAATGGAATATTATTCAGCATTAAAAGAGAATACAATCATGGAATTTGCAGGTAAATGGAAGGAGTTGGGGAATATCATGGTAAGTGAAGTAAGCCAATCCCTAAAAACCAAAGGCCGAATGTTCTCTCTGATAAATGGATGCTGATCCACAATGCGGGGAGGGGGCATGGGAAGAATGGAGGAACATTGGATTGGGCAAAGGGGAGGGGGGAGGGGAGAGGGCACGGGGGTAGGAAAGATGGTGGAATGAGAAGAATATAATGACCCTGGTTAAATGTGTGATTGCACAAATGGTGTGCCACTACATTGTCTACAACCAGAGAAAAGTTGTGCTCTATTGGTGTACATTGAAAAAAAATGCATTCTGCTGTCATGTATGACTAATTAGAAAAAAATCTGAAAAATGTTAATTAAAAAAAAGAATTACCTTGGCATGGAGTTTCTATAGTGTATGACATACGAAGGTTAAATTTTATAAGAGAATGCCAACTTATTTTTTGAAGTGTTTATACATAGAGTTTATGAAAATTCTAGTCTCTTTCCAACACTTGGTGTTGACTTTAGTTTTGTTGAAACAGGGTTTTCCTGTGTTGGTGAGGTTGGCCCCAAACTCCTGGTCTCAAGTGATTCTCCTGTCTCAGCCTCCCGAGTTGCTAGGATTACAGGCATGAGCCATCAAGCTGGGCCCACCCTCTTTCTTTAAACAATAAAAAAATTTAATATATATTTTTTAGTTGTAGATGGACACAATGCTTTTATTTTGTTTTATTTATTTACTCATGTGGTGCCGAGGATCGAACCCAGGGCCTCACACGTGCAAAGCGAGTGCTCTACCTCTGAGCCATGACCCCAGCCCCTCTTTAAACAATTTTTACATAGTTGTTGTGGATTCTGTTTCAGGCACCAGTAATTTCTGCTTTCCTTGGGTAGGAGACAGATGGTAATAAATTTGTACCATTTTTTTTTTCATTTTGATGAATTTCATTCAAGGTGACTGCCATCTCCCGTTGCTTGCAGATACTTTATTTTGAAATCATGCCTTGACTTTGTGGAAGTCCTATAGGGTCCACATTGAGAATTCTTTCCTTCAAAGAGATTTTGCAAATGCTTCTGCTAAATGCCACTGACTTATGACCTGCAGATGCCCCTGAGGATCCTGGCTCAATCCAAAAACCCCAGGCTCAGCTCCCCCTCACTGATGGCTCAGAACACAGAGACAGGCACCTGTCTTTGTGGAAGAACTGAACCTTGCCATCTCTGTGGGAGTCTGTTAGGAAGGAACTGCCCTTGCAAGTGTCCCTGTAGCTCCTGGCTCAAGACCCAGGGCTTTGTTCATTTCTTTTGTGTCACGTTGACACTGTTGTCTTAGAGGCCTCTTGTGAGATCAGAAATATCTCAAAGATTATGGCCCATGTCGTATCTGCTGGAAGCAGAAACCACTTTAATTCTCAAAAGGTTCGAGGACCTCTGGGATTACAAAGCTGTGGTTTTCTTTTCCCATGGATTAGTAGAAGGCTAATGTACAGAACTGTTTTCACTGTAAAATGTTGGTCAAAACTTTGATTTTTGCCACTGTGAACATATGTAGATTATGATGTTCTGTGACTTCTGATTTTCATTTTTAAAAATTAATATCAATGGTTGAAATGCTGCTTGGCCTACTGACAGATGGGTGGGTCACGGAGTACTCAGTTATTTGGCATGGCTAGACAGGAAGGTTTACTGATAAGAGAACCATGTTATTTAAGTTTAACCCTCATGGTGCCCATTTTTAGTCTGCCTCCTATGATGCCTTTCAAAGGTCAATCATATTCTCTTTTGTGATGATTCGGGATCTTTCAATGCTACAGAATGGCGATTCTGAGTATCACTTATGTACTGGATATATCTGTGAATTCCTGAACTGAGTGTCTCTAGACACACACCCTGAACTTGCTTTTACTGTTTCTTTTTTCCACTACCTTCAAGATAACTGATTGTTTTCTTATCTTTTGACTCTTCCAAGAAATGAGAAGAAGATGTAAGGATATTACTGAGTGTTTTTTTCTGTTTTTTTTTTTTTTTAAGAGAGAGAACAGAGCCAACTTCTCCAAAGTTCCTTCATGATAAAGAAACTCCCTAACAATACTCTATTATTTCATGGTACCTAAGACAATGCACAGTTTCAACTTTCATTCTTATTTTTCTTATTCTTTCAACAACTTCCTTTTCCAGGCATGCATTCTGTGAGTTGGGGGGGATGAAGATCTCTGGGTCACCATTTCAGAAAATGGTTCTGTGTATATATATTTATTCTAAAGTCTCCATATTTGTCTGTGAGAAGGCAATTCCTGGTTTTGTTTCCTTTTTTTCTGGCTTTTAAGCTTTTCCCAATTCCTCCTTAATCAATTTTTTTTAAAACAAAATTTCAGGTGCGATGAGGCTTCAGAATGGCCTTGTTAATTTTCACAATGAGATTCAAAGCCCTGTGTGTCCCATGGAATGGCACAAGAGGAAGCTGAATCAATGACCTGCTACAGGCAGACAGGAATATATTTAAAACCCTTCCTGGACACTCTCAGAGAAGAGGAAAGGGTTAAGAAGAGGTGGGGGAGGGAAGGGTAAGAGAGGTAATGGGGGAGGGGGATATGATTGAAGTATGTTATAGGCATACAGAAATAAACACAATGAAACACATTATTCTGTATAATTAATATGCATGCATGTGCACGCGCGCGCGCACACACACACACACACAAACCTTCTTGAGGTAGGGTCTTATGTAGAAATACGAAAGGAGATTACTTTGTAAGGTACAGTAGATTTTCTTTACTTATATCTTTAGGTAAATCTATGGCTCTAAATGATCATTCCCTGAAGATTCAAAAATATGATTGCTACGGTTTGGATATGGTTTGAATGCAACCCCCAAGGGATCATATATTGAAAAGTAACTCCCCTGTGAGGTATTACGGGTGTAGCGATTTAATATAACAATGGTGTTTGGAGATGGGGTCTTGGGAAGTGATTAGGATTAGATAAGGTGGTCAGAAATGAACCCCCCATGATTGAATTCTGTTGGTTTTATAAGAAGAGGGAGAAGGACCAGAAGACACTTGCCCACACATACATGCACAGCTGCCCACAAATGCGCTCCCTGTCTTTTGCCATGATGGGCCCTGGGCTGCACTGAGATTCTGCAACAAGAAGGACATCACCAGATGTGGGCCTTCAACCTTGGATCAGAACCATGAGCCAAATACACCTCTTTTCTCTGTAAGTACACTGCTTCAGGTATTTCATTCATTAATTAAAATGGACTAATATAATAATAACCTACTAAAAAAACATTATCTAATTTGTAAGCAATAAATGATAGCTTTGCAAACTCTAAGGCATATCTATCTTTTAGTAGCAAAGGTTTAATTTTGCATAGGTCCGAAATATGAACACACCTAAGAATCTGCCACTATTTCATTTTATTCTAAACTAAGTCTACTCATTCCTAACTGTTCCATTTTTGACAAGGACCACTAAAACAAACCTGCCTCATTGTAAAGTTATTTAGGATCTACCAACAACTACCATATGCAATATTACTACTCCTTAATCTATAAGTTACTCTGCAACTTTATTGATCAACTTGATTTTAATTATGGGTATAACCAGTATTCTACAAAACGGCAAATATGAAACTGCCAAAGCACTTTTTTTTTTTTTTTGAGGTGGGGAGTACTGGGCACCAGGGGTTGAACCCAGCAGTGTTTAACCACTGAGCCATATCCCCAGCCTTTTTTTATTAAATTTTATTTTGAGACAGGACCTTGTTAAATTGCTTAGGGCCTCACTAAGTTGCTGAGGCTGGCTTTGAACTTTCAATCCTCCTGCCTCAGCCTCCTGAGCTACTGGGATTACAGGTATACACCACTGCCCCAGCTTCCAAAGCACCTTTTAAAATTCATACAGATGAGTCAAGCCATTTGCTAATTTCATTTTCATTAAAAATTGGTGATAAGGAGACATCTTGGATTACTGATAGCCACTGGTCTAATGGGGCTGTATTTGGGAGGTGGCAACAGATCTGTGTAGGTCCTAAGGACAAAGAATGAGTCATTGTGCTTCTTCAGCCTCAATGCCCTGTAACAAGTGGTTTTCAAACTTTTTGATCTCCTTGAATCTTTAAAGAATGACTGAAGACCCTGAAGAACTTTTATTTATGTGGATTACATCTACTGATACTTTTCAGACTGAAAATTAAAACTGACAAAATAATTCTTTCAGACAGGGGGTCTTGCTATGTTGCTCAGGGTAGCCTCAAACTCTTGGGCTGAAGGGATCCTCCTGCCTCGGCCTCCCAAGGAGCTGGGATCACCACGGTTCCCTACCCAAAACACAGAAATCACTATATCTTAGAAAGACAAGCAGACATGCTGTTAGCTATCAGAGGCATTGTTATAACCCCAGATCACGTAGCTTTCAGAGCACTCCACTTATATTTCCGAGAGGATGAGAGGGAAAAAAAAGGTGAATAACAATTTAATATTATTAAGAAAATATCGTCAAACTTCTGAATGGCTTGAAAGAGTCTTAGGTGTCTCTCCTGGCCCTGTACATATTATACTTCCAGAACTATTGACTTGTACTGGGAGAGGTCAGATTATATTGTCGCATTAACAGTTTTCTTACTCTTGTCTTTACAAGGCACAGGTGTCTATCTTTCCTCTGCAGGTGAACAAGGCTTTCTTTTACATTTTACTCTAGGAATTCTGTCATCCACATTTTGGATGATAAGCAAATTATCCCAGGTTGGTATAAAATGCTCAATTTTCCTCTATTGGTCATTTTTTTTGGGGGGGATGATTTTTATCTCTGGTAGATGGGTACTTACATGTTTTCTTCAGGCATTCTGCTTTTGGGTTCTGGGGATTGAACCCAGGTGCGCTTTATCACTGAGCTGTATCCCTTACCCTTTTTTATTTTTTATTTTACCCTTTTTTATTTTGAGATGGATTTCACTAAATTAGCTGAGGCTGGTCTTGAACTTGCAAACCTTTTGCCTCAGCCTCCTGAGTTGCTGGGATTATAGGCATGAGCCACTGTGACTGACTATTCTACAGACTTTATGAAGTGTTTATCCTCTTTCTCTGCCTTCTCTCTCTATATATTTATTTTTGTTTGTTTGTTCGGTGGAGCTGGGGATGGAACTCAGGACTTGCCATGCTAGACGATCCCTCCACCACTGAAGCCACATCCCCAGCCACACGCATTTACTAATGTGCATTAATCAACATGACCCAAACTGAACGGTTTCTTTAGATAAATATGGTTCAGAATTGAGCAACAACTTACTCAAAACACCGTAAATCTTAACTCAATAAAATGACATGCTCTTGTTATCATTTAGATCTTAAGACACTGACTGTTTTCACTGAGAACTGTAGATATTCGAATTTGGTTCTAATCATAGAACGAAGGGGTTTAAGTATCTTAGATGAGCGGCTCTCTTGCCAGGAGTATATTGAGGAGTCATTTTGAAATTCAGAACTTCAGAGATGAGTCAGAGCTTGGACGGCCGACACAGCCAAGCCGTTCAACACATGAGGCGGCCCAGGCTGGTGTGATATGACTGGCTGGTGACTTTGAGCAAGTGGCACAGGGGATGAATGGTTTGTCACTCTGTAAAACATGAGGTTGCCTTTATAGTAATAAACTAATAGAACTAAAAGGACTGTAGTGACCATCTGCTCCAATTCCACCACTTTATAGATGAGGAAATTCTGGCAGAACGTGGCTAAATAATGATTTACGTAGAAGCGCCTGAACCAAGACTGGTGCACAGTCACAAGAGTGAAAATTCATTTCCTTTTTGGTCCCATCCTCCCCAGATGTCCTGGCTCCTGCCTACCTGCCGTTCCATATCTTTACTTTCATACTCTTGATTCACTGATTACAGTATTATTTTAAAAGACTGAGTATCAAAATACAAGTGCATCAGCACATTTCCCTAATAAACTGGGGCATCACGTTATAAAATGTCTGAACTCAATAGTCTCCCCTTCCTGAAGTGGTTGTACCTCTCTGCCTGTCCGCACAATACACGGCTCAAACTGATACTTGAATAAGGAATCAGAGAGCACCGGCTTAGGAGTTGATGTAGAGTCAGAGCCACATCCCACACCTCAATCTGCCAGTTACCAACTTTGGAAGGGCTGGATAATCCATAATTTATTTTCTTTATTTTATTTTATTATTATTACTTTTTGCAATATTGGTAATGGACCCTAGGGCCTTGCACATGTAGGTGAGTGCTCTACCCCCAAGTGGCATCCCCAAGCCCTCAATCTATAATTGCTTTATTTGTGACGTGACCATAAATAAACTCCTCCTTAGGGGGCTGTTCTAAGGAATGAAATGATAAACACACACAAGTAGTTTGTCAACCCTTACGTTATATAAAAGATTACTTGGTACAGTGAAAACCACACTAGAGAATTCAGGAAATCTGGGTCCTGGTGCCGGCTCATCGTTGATCATCTTACCATGACATCTTGGACAGACTGCTTTGTTAAGAAATAATAATAGTGGGTTGAGGTTGTGGCTCAGTGGTAGAGCGCTCGCCTAGCACATGCGAGGCCCTGGGTTTGATCCTCAGCACCACATAAAAATAAATAAAATAAAGGTATTGTGTCCAACTACAACTAAAAAATAAATATTAAAATAATAATAATAGTAAAAAGTCTGCAAGACACCAGGGCTGACATGAATCACTGCCAAAGGACCCACTTGCAGAAAGGTGAGCAGGGTGAAGCAATCCTGCTTTTATCAGTTTTCTTCTTAGATTTTTGAATATTCTATTACTTGAAGAATGGGTTTGGCTCCCACCTTGCAAAAAAAAAAAAATCTATGACCATTTGATCTTAATTCCTTGGAGTGAGTTTGCAAAGGGAAATGAAATAGGCACACCATCAGCCAACTTTTCGGAGGAGAGATTTTTGGGTTGTTACCTTGCACCCTTCGCAGGCATGAACGCCGTAGTGGAACCCAGAAGCCTTATCTCCACACACGCGGCACTCGATGGCCATGAGCGAGTTGGAGGGCTCCTCATGGGGCCGATTGTAGATCTGAGTCTTTTCAGAATAATAAGGCGGGGACGCAGGTTCCACTTTGATCGCACCTGTGCAGAGAGAGAGAGAGGTGAGAAGATCGTTATCACCTGGAAAAGGACCCTGCAGGGGTGCTGGGGCCGGGTGGCCACTGGACACCTTCAGGCCGCCAGGGCGAAGGGGCTCAGCATCATGCAAAGACCCAGGTGAAGGCAGAGAACTATACAAGGCTTTGGCATCACAGGCCAGTCCCACACCTGGCACATGGGGAGCCCTGGGTTCGCATGAAAATAAATAAATGAAAAAATAATGGTGTTGTGTCCAACTATGCCTAAGACATAAATATTAAAAAAAATAAATAAAACAGAGATCTGGATTAAGTGTGAAGTCCTCCAACTCCTCAACACCCCGAAAGACTAAACAGGTAAGAAAACAGGAACTTGAGACAACGTGGCTCGTCTGGCTAGGGATGTGCTGCCCTGTGTATGTGTCAGTGATATATTTTATTTAAATCTTGCATACCAAAGGTCTCTTTTAGTATTCTGCTGTCATATATAACAAATTAGAATTTAAAAAAAAAAGAAGTCTTTTTAAGCCACTCTAGTAAAAGGAACCCTGTCACCACCATGGGCCTCTTTGAAAGGTACAGGAAAGTTAAGAACCCGGGTTTATCAACAGCTGTGAGTCGAGACAAAGAGTTTGAAAAAAAAAAAAGATCTTTGAATGAATGCAGGAGAAACCTCTGGAAAGCAAGTCCTACCTTTTACTGGTTAGGTTCGGGCCTATTCAATTTCCATATTAGGCTAAAACCCCAAACCACACAGATAAATAGAACCAGCTATACTATTTATCTAAGAAATAAAACTAGAAATACAGGAAGTTCTGACTTATTGTCAAATAATGGTTGCCAATTACACAGCGGTGGCTCTGGAAAACCAGCACATCAGCCCACGAGCAGATACCATCAAGGAAACAGCATCACAGAAATTATACTTTATCTTGAAAAGTGCAGTCCTCGGTTTTTGTTTTTTTCTTGAGCCCGATGTTTTGATGTTAACTGAGTTCGTGGCAAGAAGAGCTATAGGCTTTTGCAATGTTCACTTGTGAATTTTTTAAGTTGACAACCTTAAAATGCTCATTTGAGCCTGAAAAGGCGGGTTTCAATGTAGATTTCACACATCACAGATGAGGGGTGGGAAAAAGAAACCGACGGTCAGAGTAATTTACTGATGATAAGTTGTATATGATAACTTGCAACTGTTACCTATTAATTTAGAATAAGCTGAAAGATGGGTGGACTCCACTCAGCCTAAGATAGAAAAGGCGATGTAATCATCTTAGAAAATGCTAAGAAGGAAGCCAGCAAGAAAGGACAGAGAGAGAGAAAAGGGTCAAACGGACAAGATGGACCTGCGGCATTTACACCCACCTTCCTTTCTGGCATAAAGCAGAGACCTAAGATCTGGCTGATAATGGGAACCGCCTTCTCTCTAGAGTCCCAGCCTCTGGAGCGTGCACTCCAGGGTCACTGTGGTCTGAAACGTGAACAGAAGCATCTTACTTTGGTAGTCTTGGAGCTTCAGGTCATATTTATAATCAGGCATCATTGGATCAGCTCTCGTGAACGGGATGTCTTCGTAGTGGGGGGTGGAAATGCTGGAGAAGTCGACGGTGGTGAAGGGTTTGATGTCGAAGGAGCGGGAGTGGTCGTCCATCATGGAGAGGTCCATGGAGCTGATCCCAAAGTTGGTGGGCCAGAACGGCATCTCTGTGTCAACCATGGTGATTTCTGAAATGGCAAAGAGAAGGCTTATGAAGCCAGGGCCTGGAGAGCAGAGCCGTCTTCCAAAGACCCACAGAGAGGGGACACACAGAGGCAGTCTCATCCACGTTATGAGAACACAAACACAATCTTTTTTTGGGGGGTACTGGGGATTGAACTCAGGGGCACTCAACCACTGAGCCCCATCCCCAGCCCTATTTTGTATTTTATTTAGAGACAGGGGCTCACTGAGTTGCTCAGTGCCTCACTTTTGCTGAGGCTGGCTTGGAACTCGTGATCCTCCTGCCTCAGCCTCCCGAGCCACTGGAATTATAGGCATGCACCACCACGCCCAGCTATACAACCACATTCTTAATGCAATGGGGGTCGTTTTATGATAAGCAGGAAGTTAGTGTACCAGGGTACCCTAAAAGACACCCCTATAATAGTCTAGTTGCATACAGCTTATCCACATAAATGTCATGTAACACTGATCTCATCATTCTCTACGCAAGATCATCAATTGACTCTGGGTGTGGTGGTGCACCTCTGTAATCCCAATGCCTCTGGAGGCTGAGGCAGGAGGATGGCAAGTTTAAGGCCAGCCTCAGCAACTTAGTAAGACTTTGTCTCAAAATAGAAAATAAAAAGGGCTGGGGATGCAGCTCAGTGGTAGCCCACCTCTGGGTTCAATCCTCAGTACCAAAAGAAAAAAAATATCATCAATTAAGTCTGTTAATAGATGTGTTTAATCTATTTATAAAGTTTTTCCACCTTTATTGAGGTATAACTAAAAATAAAAAATCCTGTATTTAAGATATGGAATGTGATATTTTAAATTATATATACATTATAAAATGACTATCACAATCAAGCTAATTAACATATTCATCACTGAAGTGAGAATACTTAAGATTGATTCTCTTATGAAATCTTAAGGTAAACAATTCAGTATTCTTAACTCTAGTCATTTTGCTGTACACTGGGTTTTCCAGAACTTATTCATACTGTATCACTGAAACATTGGCCAACATCTCCCCATTTCCCCCACCTCTAAGTCCCTGACAATCTCCATTTCACTCTCTGCTTCCATGAGTAGTTTTTTAAACAAGATTCCAAATATAAGTGAGACCATGCAGTGTTTTTCTTTCTGCATCTGGCTTATTTCCCTTAGCACAATAACAAGAATCTTCTTTTTGAAGGCTGTATAGTATTCCATCACTCAAGTGTGTTCACTGATTTTTTTTAAAACCCATTCATTTGTCTAAGACACTTAGGTTGATTTCATATCTTGGCTGCTGTGAATGGAGCTGCAATGGCCAGGGAGTGCAGGTATCCCCTCAACATACTGATTTCAGTTCTTTGGATATATACCCAGAAGTGGAATTGCTGGATCATGTGGTAGTTCTACTTTTAATTTTCTGAGGAACCTCTATTCTGTTTTCCACAATGGCTGCACCAATTTACATTCCCACCAATAGTTTGTAAGAGTTTCTTTTTTTCCTATATTCTTGCCAACGTTAATCTCTTTCTTCTTTTTCCTAGCAGCCATTCTAACAGGAGTGAGGTGCTATGTCTCACTGACCCTTTGATCTGCATTTCCCTGATGATTAGAGATTTCTGAATATCTCTTCATACACCTGATGGCCATTTGTATGACATCCTTTGAGAAATGGTTGTTCAGATCCTTTGCCTGTTTTTAAACTGGGTTGTCTTCTATACTGTTGATCTGAGTTTCTTATATATTTTAGATTATCAACCCCACTACCAAATGTACAGTTTGCAAATTTTTTCTCCCATTCTTTAGGTTGCCTCTTTATTCTGTATGTTATTTCCTTCTCTGTGCAGAAGGTTTTTATTGTTTTGATGCAATCTGTTAAAGAGCATAGGTTTCTAGGACAGTTTTGTGTTTTTTTCCTTAAAATTAAAACCCTAAATATTTTTCTCTTTAGGATGAAAATTTTGTTATTCTATTTGTGTTTTAAATGCTTTTGTATTTAAGTTGCTAAATTAAATTATGTGCATTTATTCAACTGCATTCTAAAATAATTTTGTTCCTAAGGTAATACTATAATCAATCTTTTAGAAAAGCTTCCTTCTGCACTATGAACAATTACTCAAATATTTATCTTTTTTTGGGGATACAGCTTTTCTTCAGACGAGAAAGTTTTCCTCATATAGAGAACAGGCAGGTGAATATGTAAGAATATGTGAGAAAATGTCAAAGTCAGATTCTGGTCCCCCCCAGCATCAACTTAGCTCATCCCCCAAAAGGAAACACAAACAAAACAGAGAAGAATACAAGAAACAATATAAAAGACAAACAGAGAGCCAGGTATAGCAGTGCACATCTAATCTCGGCGGCTCAGGAGGCAGAGGCAGGAGGATTGCCAGTCGGAGGCCAGCCTTTGCAATTTAGTGAGACCCTCACCGATTTATAATAAAAACAGCTGGGGATGTGGCTTGGTGGTAGAGCTTCCCTGGGATCAATGGCCCCCATACAAAAGACAAAAGAGAAAAGACTTCAAAATAACTACTTCCATGAATTTATCTGCTCACGTACATTTTTCTAAATCTGATTTGTTAACACAGCAAGTGAACTGAACTGTTTGGGTTCCAAGTACTCCGTGTGAACTTGTGTGAGCCTCTGGTGAGTGTAGACTTCAAACTGTGGTGTAGCAGCTACCGGACTGACTTGGTTTACCTGAAACTAGTCCGCCATTCAAAGGGGTGTCGAGAAAAGCAGCCACTGAAGTATTTTAAGTGTTAGCTCTGGTAGACGCACTGGTGCAACTTCAGGACGGCTAAACCCGAATGCAAAGAAAGAACTGCTCTTAGATCCCAAGGATCCTGGAATCCGAGAGGTCTCTGTCTTGTTTGCAGGTATGTCTGCGCCTTCTAACAAAGCGCGTGGCTCATAAAACACTTATCAAATACTTGTTGATTAACTAATAAAATGAACGACACGGCTGTGAAATCCTAGCCGAAGGGGCAGGGGAGGAGGGAAGCAATGGATTGATGAACGCCACCTTTTATCCTGTGTAATCTGAGGTCCTGAGTTCACTCCATGGAGAAGAAGGTGGGATTAGGAAGGTCAAATTACTTGCTCAAGATTCATGAGCTAGAAACGTTGAGATTCAAACTCAAGAGGGACTCAGAAACCCTGTTCTGTCCTCTCACTGATGAAAAAGATTGATAGAGCAAGAGCCACGCTCCTCGGGGTATCTGGGAATGGGCCTCTTGCTTTTTCCCAGCAAGCAGAGAGCGAAGGAATCTGCTCTCAAAGGCAAACTCTGGCCTGAGACTCAAGATTTCAGTTGTGGTCGGCACAAGAGAAACAAAGCGCCTTAAACAGACAAATCAGGGGACCGGTCCTGTGATGTGCTCCGGGACTCGAGGAGGGCTCCCGTGTCTGAATGGCTACGTAATAAGCACCCAAACAACCTTCAGTTATCTGTGTTGCTGTGTAAACACCACACACCAGCAAGAGGAATGTGATAGCTGAAAGGTCGTACTGGGTCTCAATGACATTCAGGGGGAAAAAAAAAAAAAACCTGTGTTCCTAATGACAGAGGCACCCATCCAACTGTGGCCTGTGTTTCAAAATTCATTGAAACTGACCCAACTTGAGTCACTCTGTTCACTTTGCCCGCCTCTGCGGCATGCTCCATTATTTTTTGGGGGGAGGGAGGTACCAAGGATTGAACTCAGGGGCACTCGACCACGGAGCCCCCTCCCCAGCCCTATTTTGCATTTTATTGTGAGACGGGGGCTCACTGAGCTGCTTAGGGCCTCGATTTTGCAGAGGCTGGCTTTGAACCTGCGATCCTCCTGCCTCGGCCTCCGGCCCGCATTGCTGCATTCTTATTTCTCTGTTAGTTTCTCTTAGTGTCAGTTATTTTCCTACCCAAGGATCTGTCTCTTATTGAGACCTGTCACAGCCTCAAAGGTGAGTTTATCAGCTGTTTCTCAGTGAGGACCACAGCAGAGTTCTGCGTGTGAAGAAGATGACAGAATATGTTGAAGGTGAAGGGCGTGCCTCTGTGTGAACACTGGACGTGGGAATAGGGAGGCCAAAATCGTAGGGATGCAGGAGACATTGGTCATTCATTATTTTACTGGCTGACTTTTGTTTCGTTTTGTGATTGACGACTCCAGTGACTCCCTGTAACGCAAAGTCATGCTTCTTCACGCAGGAATCGCATCCCTGGGGGTTTGTGTGTTTTGCTGGAAAATTCTGGGGAAAATTTTTTAACGCGAAAATAGCCACTTATGTGTCAGGGAATAGAGTGAAAAGTTCATGTGAGTTCTACGATGAAATATGAAGCTTCTAAAATAATTTGTACTTGTAGTACATTGTGTGGCCAGAAGGATTTAAAACAGAAATAATAGACCTTACTTTTTTTAGAGCAGTTTTTTTTCCCCCTCCAAAAGAGCTATTTTAGGTTTACATAAAATTGAGCAGAGAGGTCCTAGATACCTTCTCCCTGCCTAGATACCCTCTCTCCCCTCCTCAATAAGGCAGTTAGGTCTTCCCTGTTTTTAACATTCTGCACCTCTGTAGTACTTGTTACAACAGACGGACTGATACTGATACGCCATTATGAACAGAACTCTGCAGCTTATATTAGGCTTATTCTGTGCCTTGTACAGTTCTAGGAATTTTGATAAAAGCATAATGACATCCAACACCATTGCAGTGTCATACAGAATTATTTCAGTGTCTTAAACATGCCCTAGGCGCCCATGTCTTCATTATCCCCTCCTTCCCTCAGAGAATGCTTGTTTGCTTTATTTATTTATTATTTTTTGGTGCCAGGAATTGAGCCCAGGGATGCTTAACCACTAAGGCACGCAACCCCCACCCCCGTAGCCCTTTTTATTTTGAGACAGGGTCTGGCTAAGTTGCTGAGGGCCTCTCTAAGTTGCTGAGGCTGGCCTCAAACGTGTGATCCTTCTGCCTCAGACTCCTGAGCTGCTAGGAATACAGGCACGTGCTACCGTGTCCAGCCAGAATGCCGTATTAT